AAACCTTTGCTTTTTTAAACCTTTGCTTCCCAAACCTTTGCTTTTTTAAACCTTTGCTTTTTAAACCTTTGCTTTTCAGACCTTTGCTTTTTAAACCTTTGCTTTTTTAAACCTTTGCTTTTCAAACCTTTGCTTTTCAAACCTTTGCTTTTTAAACCTTTGCTTTTCAAACCTTTGCTTTTTAAACCTTTGCTTCCCAAACCTTTGCTTTTCAAACCTTTGCTTTTTAAACCTTTGCTTTTTAAACCTTTGCCTTAACCGCCCAGCTCAGCTGGGATAAATAGATGATAAATAGATGATAAATAGATGATAAATAGGCGATAATAGGTGATAAATAGGTGATAGACTTGTAAGCCACAGCCATCCCCGTTCCCCAGGAGGCTCTGGCTCAGCAGCTGACGGTTTTTAAGTGTGTTTACCTCTATTTGATTAATCAGTGAGTTGTCAAACTTGAAGCCAGGGATTCTCTTTTCACTGCAGACCACTCCCACGTCCTCGGTGTGTTTGCAGTCACTCACTCCCCAGCCATTGGAAGTGCAGGCTGCCAGGGTGCTCTCCTTGCCAGTACAGTGCACATTGTCCAGCCAAATTTTCCCTGAAGGGCAAAAGAAAACAGAGCTGAGACTCGCGAAGAGGGTAAAGCCGGGGTGTGCTGGAAGCAGGGGAAGCTGCCGGGCTCTGAGTGGGGTTTCTGCTCGAATAAACCCGGAGAAAGCAGCCGAGGAGCGGTGGGAAGGGCTCTGCCCCGCAGCTTTCCCCTTCCCTTATCCACGTGGGAATATCCAGCAGCCTCCCATCCTGCTCTGGGATCTCTGCCCTGCTCTGGGGACAGCTCTGAGCACCCCACGGCACCAGGTCCCCTGGTCTGGCTGATGAGCCCCTGCCCTCTAATCACACTCCCCAGCTCATCCCTCCTCTCTCTCTCTCCATCGTTCCTCATCAAACCCTCCTTAAACCTCCTGCAAGAGCAGCTCGAGGTTTGCTTAAATGCCTCTACTTCTAAAAAGCAAATTTCTGCCCCTGGTGATTGCATCCTGCTGCTGTTGGGGTGCTCTTGGAAAATAAAATGCCAGCTCCAGTTTCCAGCCTGTAATTACCATTTTCCCTGCAGCTAAAAGCGTGTGTGCAATGCATATTTATACATATATATAAATAAAATATGTCTTTTTAAAAATCACGTGCCTCAGAACTCCCTTCTAAGATGAACAGACAAAACCCAGCAGGTGTCACCTCCAAAATTCAGGTTGTGTTTCCCCAAGAGCCAAAAACCTGGTGGCACCTCCGAGATTCCTTTTCTCCAAGTGCCTGTTTTCCCCCTGGAAATGTGCTGGGCACAGGGAATTCGCTCCCTAAATCACAGGCCAATAAGCAATTCCCATATTTTAGGGTGGCAGCTGCTCTGCTTGTCTGGACTGGGTGATCTGAGAGGTCTTTTTCCAATCTCAGTGATTCCAGAGTAATGTGTCCTTGGGATAAAAGTGCTGCCTGATCCCGGGAGCCACTGGGATATTCTGCAGATATTTATTTCACTTGGTTGTCCCAGCTTTATCCCAGCTGGATCACCAGCTGGTGGATCTCCCAAAAAGGGGAACAGCCCCCAAAAAACCCGGACCTACGTTTGGATGTGTCAGGATTTACCCTGGGATTCAGGGAATGCTCATTCCCACTAAATCACGTGGCCAAGCTGGTTTGTTTTCCAGTGTCACGGCCTCTTCCTCCCTTGGAAATCTCCTGCTCTCCTCCCAGAGCCAAAATCCACAGGTTGGGAGCACAGTCAAGGCTCCACATGTCAGTCAGTCCCTGCTGGGGCCTGTTTGCTCTTTTATGGGAAAAAGGGGAGGTGTGAGCCCTGAGAAGTGCTAAATGAGAGCCAAAGAGCACGTTCAGCCCCTGCTGCAGTGGAAAGATCCATCTGTGGGATACACCAGAGTGCCAGGCTCCAGTGTGGGCAGGAAAAGTCCTCTGCAGGTCAACACTGAGCTGCCAACACATCAAACCCCAATAAACCTGGTGGGTTCTCTCCTGTTCTAAAGATGTGTTGTTACTCCTGGGTTATTTCAGAGTTATTCTCTCTCAAACTCACTTGAAAAAATCACTTCTGTGGCTGTAAGAACTCGCTGCTGTGACACACAAATATTCACCTTTCAAGGTCTCTGTTCAGCACATATTTGGGAAGGAGGAGCAATTTCCCACATATCCATCATGTATGACATCAAAGAGCAAGAAAGGACATGGACAAGGAGGGACAGGGCACAGGGAATGGCTTCCCACTGCCAGAGGGTGGGGTTAGATGGGATATTGGGAAGGAATTCCTCCCTGGGAGGGTGGGGAGAGGCTGGGATGGAATTCCCAGAGAAGCTGTGGCTGCCCCATCCCTGGGAGAGACCAAGGCCAGGTTGGAGCAACCTGGTTTAGTGGAAGGTGTCCCTGCCCATGGAAAAACTGGATGATATTTAAGGTCCCTTCCAAGCCAAACCATTCCATGATTCCATAATGCACAGTTTGGGGTGGGGATGAAGAGCTTTCCCCCAGCAGGAACAGCCTGAGAGCGTCCAAAATGATTATTCCCAATATGATCCCATACAGGATATGAACTGTGCAGGCTCCTTTGGGGTTACAGAGCAGTCTGTGCTGCAGAAGACAGTGCAGGATTTTCTGGAGAGGCTGACAGGGAAAAGAAAAGTTTGGATAACATCCCACGGGCAGTGTGTTCAGAGCCTGAAGTGCTCAGAGGGAAAGAGGAACAGGGGGAAGGAGTACTGAGAGGCCCTGTTTGACTCACTGCAGGGCAGTGGAATTGTGAAGAGGGAAAAGAACCATCTGTGCATCACCAGCCCCGGGTGCAGCTGCAGAGGAGCCTCCCACCCTCATCCAAACCTGGTGCTCCCACCCTGGCCCTGAGGGCATCATCCAAACCCTCCTGGAGCTCTGGCAGCCTTGGGGCTGTGCCCACTGCCCTGGGGAGCCTGGGCAGTGCCCAACCACCCTCTGGGGGAAGAACCTTTATCCTGAGATCCAACCTGCCCTGCCCTGGCACAGCTCCAGCCATTCCCTGGGGGCTGTCCCTGCTCACGGGGAGCAGAGATCGGAGCTGCCCACCCCAATGAGTCCCCCCTCAGTCTCCTCTTCTCCAGCTGAACAGACCAACTGCCTTCAGTATGACCCCTCCAGACCCTTCCCCAACTTTGGGCACTCCCTAAGAGCTTTTTACCACTTTTTATGCCCCAAAATGCCACCACGAAGACTCGAGACCGCGAAGAAACCCCACGACGGCTCCGACCAAACCGACCCTCCAAGGACCAGCAGGAGCTCGGGT